ATTAAAGCAATCTGGTCATAACAAGGATCATAAAACTGATCATTTCCTTTGGCCCAGTAGGTCTACATTTGAGACTATATCCTAAGAATATAACTTGAAATTTTTATTTATTTAAAATATCCATATATTAATAATTTGTGAAGGTTGGAAAAATGGGAAACAACCCCTGCTTTCATTCTCCTTCTCCAGCCTAGATAAGCCAAACTGTAAGTTGTTTCTTTGGCAGAACGCAAGCAGAAAAGCATTATTAGAGAAAAACCACTAAGTTGGGCAAAATATAATCAGCATGACTTTAAGTTCACCAGTCTCAGATGGGCAATCATTATTTCCCTGAAATGCTGTTGTTTTTCTGATGAAGCTGTTCTTCTCTCTACAGATGCTATTTTAATAGTCACCATTCTCCTTGGACCAAAGAAGCCACCATCTACAAGGCCATTTAAGTCAGAAAACATGAGAGCTATTCATGGGAACGCCTCCTCCTTATCTATTACATCACCAAGTCCTATTGTTTCAACCTCAGGAAATATCTCTTGAACTCATCACCTCTCTTCTATCTTCACTGCCACCACAATCAGAACCAAGAATATTCTCTTAATTAGTTGCTCCATTTTCATTCTTGCTTTACTCCTATCCATTCACCACACAGCAGAGTGACCTATTTTTTAATGTATCAAACTAATTCATACACATAATAGATCCATATAGCAATTCATAAAGGCAAAGTTGTACACTCCCTCCACCCCTTTCCAACTGCAGTCCCCCCAAGTAAGCAATCACACACAAAATTTTGATGTGTTCGTATTCTCCCATTCTTTTTTCTGTGCTATACATAAACATTGATTGATTCTTTTTTATTTCTAAAAAAATGGGTAACATTATACACAATATATCATGTTATAATTTACTTATTTATTCTTTACCTAATAACATGTCATGGACATTCTTTCAGGTCAATATATAGTTCTTTCCCTTTCTCTTTTTCATATAGCTATGTATTATTCCAGAGAATGGAAGTACAAAAATCAAGTTAATAACTTCCTCAGTGATGAACATTCAGTAGCATGTTCTTCTAAAAATGTAAATGAGATCATGCCTCTTTCTTCAAAGGCTTTCCTTTTCCCATGGAAGAAGATCCACATTTCCTACCATGGCCTGCAAGGCTCTGGAATGATATGGCCCTTGCCTCTATTTAATCTACCTTACACCCCACCTCCGCTTGCTTACCATAACTCACACTAACGTTCTAGTAAGGTCTCTTCCACCTCATTCATAATCCCTGCATATTTTCTACTCTTAACCTGTAAAGATCTTCCCTGACTATCCTCCTCTTGCTCACCAATCTAAATTAGGTTCCCCTCAAAATAATTCCATTTGCAGCAACAAGGATGCAACTAGAGATTATCATACTAAGTAAGTCAGAAAGACAGGGACAAATACCATATGATATCACTTATATGTGAATCTAGAATATGGCACAAATGAACCTATCTACAGGGCAGAGATAGACTCACAGACATGGAGACTGGACTTGTGGTTGTTGCGGGGTAGGGAGAGGGATGGACTGGGAGTTTGGGGTTGGGAGAGGCAAACTATAAAAAAAGAAAAAAGAAAACAAATTAGGTTCCCCTCTTAAACAGTCTCATAACATCTTGTAAACACCTTCACAGTACTCATCACCAGTTATAATAATCTATAAGAAATATATGTATATACTTCATTTATTTATTTAAAATTTATTTATTTATTTATTTATGGTTGCATTGGGTCTTCGTTGCTGCGTGCGGGCTTCCTCTAGTTGCGGGAGCTACTCTTTGTTGCGGTGCGTGGGCTTCTCACTGTGGTGGCTTCTCCTGTTGTGGAGCTCGGGCTGTAGGTGCACGGGCTTCAATAGTTATGGCTCGCGGGCTCTAGAGCGCAGGATCAGTAGTTGTGGCACATGGGCTTAGTTGCTCCACGGCATGTGGGATCTTCCCGGACCAGGGCTTGAACCCATGTCCCCTCCATTGGCAGGCGGATTCTTAACCACTGCGCCACCAGGGAAGGTTCACTTGTATTTATTTAAATGTCTGATGATTTCATCTCTGCCTCCTCCACGAGGCACCCTGCTCTATGAGGACAGAGACAGTGTTTTGCTGTACCACCATCACCTAGCACAATACTCAAAGGTAAAAAACATTTATGGAGTGAATAAATGGTATGTCCTACACCAAGGAAACATTAGGCAGCTAGAATTGCATATTAATTAACCTTTTAAATGATATGTGTTACATGGATGTCTATGAAATTACACATACAACATACACACATATATATATGAAAAATTTGTAAAACAGTGTAAAAGGAGCATTGGCCTGGGAGGATAGTGGCTCTGTCACTAATTAGGTGGTGACCTAGGAAATGTCACTTCCTTACTGTTAGTCTCCAGGAATAAATGACTGTCAGTACGTATGGGATTGTCCCCTAGTGTTGGATACTCTGGGAGGTACTACTGACCTTTAGAGGGTAGGGGCCAGGTAAGCTAGACTTTCTGCAAAACAGGGCACTGTTCCTTACATGAAAAATTATTTTGTGTCCCTCATGACTTTTAAAGAGGGCTCTTTTTTTAAAATTAAATTAAATTTATTTATTTTTGGCTGCGTTGGGTCTTCATTGCTGTGTGCGGGCTTCTTCTAGTTGCAGTGAGTGGGGGCTACTCTCTGTTGCGGTGCGCGGGCTTCTCACTGGAGTGGCTTCTCTTGTTGCGGAGCACGGGCTCTAGGTGTGGGGGCTTCAGTAGTTGTGGCACGTGGGCTCAGTAGTTGTGGTTCGCGGGCTTAGTTGCTCTGGCATGTGGGATATTCCCGGACCAGGGCTCAAACCCGTGTCCCCTGCATTGGCAGGCAGATTCTTAACCACTGCGCCACCAGGGAAGCCCATCCCTCATGACTTTTAAATGCCCCCAGTGCAGGTGAGAAACGTGTATATATGATCCGTGCCTAAAACCTGACCTATTTTGCATATGAACACAAAGCTGTTTTAAATTATTACAGAACTCTAAAAGTGAGTGTTTTAGGAATGCATCTACACTGGACACTGAGGACAGATTAGTGTTGTCACCAGAGGTGGTCAATCAGCATACTTGTGTCAGTTGGTATTTGGAGCTTTCACATTCATGGGGATTTATAAGTGCCAGCAAATGAAGATTTGATTATATTTTCTATAATTGTCATGTCTGAGCATTTATATATTGAAATACAAAACATTGTACTATAAATTACTTTTATATCATATATAGGACATTATTTTGATTTAAAACAAGATCATGTATGTAGATGAAATTCATAAATTATCCATGAATTTCATTTTAGGCTAATACAAGAGATATTGTAAAGATACTGTTCTTAAAAAAAGGTGTGTAGGATAAGATGATGGATTAGATGATGATTAAGATCCTTTCCAGTCTTAATGTGGTGGTTCTTATCTTTAATAATGGTAAGAATTCTGTTTATTTTGTTCTTTTCGTTACTTGGTTTACATTTCACTGTAAAATTGGTAATATAAAAAACACACATTAAAATAATACATGTCTCCTATACTGAATGTTTAAATAGTTACCTAAAGGTGGTGAATCCAAATGATTTCCCAAGTTTCCTTGCTAGGTAATAATCTCATGATTCTACAATTTCAAATTTTTGGTGAATTGTGAGTTTATTACATATTTTAAGTTTTCACCAAATAATTGACTCTAGGCTTGATAGTAAAGCACAAAGAACTAATGTATTGCTAAAAAATGAAATGAAAGCGTCTCACTATGAGATTAAGTTCACAGATTTTATACTGAAACCTTCCCCCATTCTCCTTCTGTTTAGAATTTTTCATCAGTTACAATATACTATGCATTTCAATCATATGTTTTATAAATTGCCTCATCTCCCTTTTCTGTCACCCTAACACACACACTAGAATAGACACAGGAATTCCTAGAATAGGAACAGGGAATTTTGTCTATTTTGCTCACCGTCTCCTCCCCATGTATAGAACAGTGCCGGGCACACAGGAGGAGCTCAATGAGTATTTGTTGTATGAATGGGTGAAGAATACACACAATAAGCAAAAACGACTGCGTCGAGCGCCACTTCCACCAGAATTCTAGGAGGCATGTGGGAGGGACCAGTAAATTGACTGATTTTTTTGTGTATGTGTGTGACTGATTTTTGAAATTGAGGATTCCTCGGCGCTCGTAGAAATTGCGAACGCGTTCTTATATTCGTTGGGATGTATTGATGTGTGTAGGGTTTGTGAACTCCGCGCGCAGAGCTGTGCAGGCTGGAAATCGAACTAACAATTTGCAAAGTCCGCATACTGTTCTCAAATTTATATCATTAGAAACACATTTTTGTAAACGCGTGGGTATTCCCTTCTCTTGTACTTCTGTAAAGGACAATTTAGGATATCTCTTCACTGGAGATTAATGGTGAGGACTGGATCAAGGGTGGTGACTCCAAAACGCGCAAACAGTGGCAACGAGTTAACACTTTTCGCAAACAAACGCCAATTCAGTATCCAATTCCCACTCTAGATCAAATCCCGCGCTCCTCCTACCTCCAACCTGACTGTACCCCGCCCTCTTTAATACCCATGGTGGGCAGAGCAGAGAACGGTCTCGGTTCCCCCAAAATTGGTTACGCCCGCCCCGAGTTTTGGTCTCCCATATTTGAGCAAACACCGAGGAAACGGAACCACTAACGAAGGTCGCCGACCAAATGACAGCGGAGCAGCAGACGCGGGTCAAGAAGGAAGCAAAACACGAAGAAAGGCAATAGTATAACAGGCACGTGAGGTGGGCTATCCCATCCGCCCTCGGAGTGAGAACATCAACTCCCGGCTTGCCTCTGGGCTGTTACCCTCCGAGGACTACAACTCCCAGGATGGTGCGGGAGCAGTACCCCCGCCGCTCCTCCCGCCCCTCCCCCGCCCCTCCCTGTCGGATCGGCGTGCGCCTGCGCACCGGAGGCCGGAGGAGTCTTACCCTAATGTAAGATGGTGGCCCGTCTGGCTGTGGAACCCACCGAAAGCTGAGAGTCTCTCTCTCAGCCGTAAAGGTCGGACTCGCTGAAGCAATCAGGCCCGTTTCTGAAGAGTTTTTTCCCCGACACTCGTTCAGTGGTCTCTTGTGAGGACGCGGCAACGCGTGGAATCGGATAAGGGAAAAGCGAGGCAAGGCAGGCGGGTGAGTCTGTGCGGGGCTGGGCTTAGGGGAAACCCGGGGCTTACCGGCTACGAGAGAGCGGAGGCTTCGCTGGGACTGTGCAGGCCGCACCCCCCTTTCTCCCCACCCCCCGCCTCATCTTCAGCCTCCTTCTCGGTCTTCCTCCTCCTCCTCCTCTTCCTCCCTCTCCCCTCTACGCCACAGCAGTTACCGCCGGGAAAAGGGAGCGGGGCAGAAGGCTGCGCGGCGGCGAGCCTCGACTGCTTCAAAAATCTCTTCAATTGGGCAGCCGAGGCGGCTGCTCGTCTTCAGTGCTCTCCCCTACGTTTTTGTAGGGGCAGGAATCTTAGGTCTCAGGACTCCCTGTTTTCCCAACCCCCTTGCCCCTCTCTGACGTCCTTCTCCAGTGGCTCCCGTCTCCCAAGACCGAAGCCATCACTTCCACTCTGACCCGTGGTGCTCATTAATCCCACTGCTCGTTGCCCACTCGGTCCTGCCGCTTGTTTTTTGCTCCGCTGCTACCACTGTGGAGTTAGCCTTTGCTCCCCCCGGTGCTTGCCATTAGTCCCCAGCCTATCTGCTACCCTAGAGCTTCTTCCGATTTGCAGTCTTTCCTTTAACCACATCTGTCATTTTAAAGCTGCCCCTTAAGTATCTAGATTATGCTGCTGCTCGTTCTGACCCACCTGTTTCACAGCGTTCTTGGGTATTGTCCGTTCCTTCCCTCTTTCCTATACAGATTCTTTCAGCATACACTTCCAGAAAAAAAGGGATGCCCCGTGTTGGCCCCTGAAAAGTCAAGGAAGTTGGGAAGTGAATGAAGTGAGGTAGGATACTGTTAAACATTTTGAGTGAAGCTCGTTTATTCAGGCTACTCCGGAGAGGAGCGTCTTCGTTTTGCTTTCAATGCTCTATTTGTGGATTATTCGCTCTGTTGGGACGTGGTTTTTTTTTTTTTTTTTTTTTTTTTTTTTTTTTTTCCATTTTGGACCGGTTTCTCCATGCTACCAAGCCTTCTTCTGAATTGAGTCTCCCCAGGATACTTAATGTGGGCTCTGATTATACCAACAAATATTAGCCTGGGCATTTAAAAATAAGATAAATCTGGCACACAACCAAATTCATCTGTGAGCTCCACAAGCAAATATAAGTGGTGTTCTGATTATAAGCAGGTTATATGTGGGTTACAGATTCCTTCCAAATTGAGAATTGATTATTGACTCAGTTTTATTGATGTTCAGCTTAATTGATGACATTTTATTTATAGTTTGAGTGGAAATTTCCTCTCCAGCTAATATCTGACTTGATATTTTTGGATTTGGGAAGTTCTTTCTTTTAACATATCTAGAATGGTAGGTATCTGAATAAATTGTCTTCTCTTGAAAACCATTAGGTCTATAAGCAAAGGAAAAATCGATTTTTTTTTTTTCAAAACTAAATCTCATTTTTTCCATAGAAAAGAAGGGGGCTGGGAAAGAAATGACAAAGCTGTGCACATAAATGCATTTGGTAACACTCAGTGTCATTATTATTTACATTAAAAAGCAGAAAACTAGAAGCCGGTGGTGGCTTATGATGTCTGTTTTGTGAAGAAGGAGCTTTTGCTATAATCAGACTACTGTGAAGTAAAGAATTACCAGAAAAACAAACAGGATTACATAGATCAGATACATACATCTCAAATTTAAACGTAAATAAGACATTGTGTTCTTAAGATGTATGTAAAAATATTAAGTCATAGTAGCAATCTCATGCAGCAGTATACCTCTTATTTGCAAAAGTAATAATACCTCAAGTGTAAATATAAATACATATAGTTGTCCATTAAATCACTTTTGGATGTTGCTGCATAATTGTGATTTTTTTACAGATTTTATCTGTAATACTTGATGGAATCTTACATTTGACATTATATTCGCTTGATTGTGATAAATGGTCTGTTTCATCAAATGTAAACCGAGGTTAGGAAAGCTGTTTATAAAACTTCATTTTTCCTTTCAGCCACTTAAGCCACAATTTGGGGAAACTAAATAAATCCCGACTTTTCTGAGAATTGGAAGCAATTTATATAGCAAACCTTGTCCTAAGTTATGACCTGAGGTTTTTTTAAAAAAAAAGTATTACTTACTTTTAGTTTATCAGTAGGAATATATTTAATACAATTGATCTTCAACTCTAAGCAAAAAATATATTTCATTTTTCTTTGTAATACACTGGTGGAGAAGCTTTCCACTTTGAACAAGCCTAACACACGGGTTTAGAAACCCTTGGCAGTCATACTTGGCTGAATTGTAAGCAGTGTGTTCTAGGAGAGGACTGTTTGTCTGCCAGAAGAGGGTAAATTATTTTAATACATCTTTTCTTTTGTAAAGATATTTTGCTTCAATAAAAGCATTCTCAAGTAATTTTCTCCACTCTATAGTTTTTTTCCTGCCATCATCAAATTCTTAGTTATCAGCACTGTGAAGTCAAAATGAATTTACTTTGGAATCTTTAACACATCTGAAGAAGATATCTAAAGTTCTTTGATATTTTGATAGGAAATACAGAGCTGAGAGTTCAAAGTATTTTTGTATGGTTTAACTTTTTTTTATTTTTATAAATTTATTTATTTATCCTTGGCTGTGTTGGGTCTTCGTTGCTGCACGCGGGCTTTCTCTAGTTGCCGTGAGTGGGGGCTACTCTTAGTTGCGGTGCGCGGACTTCTCATCGCAATGGCTTCTCTTGTTGCCGAGCACGGGGTCTAGGCGCACGGGCTTCAGTAGTTGTGGCTCGCGGGCCTAGAGCGCAGGCTCAGTAGTTGCGGCTCACGGGCTTTGTTGCTCCGCAGCATGTGGGATCTTCCCGGACCAGGACTCGAAACATATCCCCTGCATTGGCAGGCAGATTCTTAATCAGTGCGCCACCAGGGAAGCCCGTGTGATTTAACTTCTTAAATGTAACATTTTGAGTATTGTAGCTTCATAATTTCGTGGGGTTCTTTTTTTGGGATAGTTTGGAATACTTTCTGCCAGTTTCAGTAGTTGAATTCTTCAACTGAATAGATTATTTCTACAGAAGGGTTTTTGAACATGAGTTACTTGAGGTTGACTTGTTATGAAATTTGTTTTCACAAAGTTCCATAGACAAATCTTTAATTTTATTAGGATGAGACAGTTATAATCAAATGGCAAAATACAGAAAAATTGCTCCAACTTCAGTCTGATTGGAGCACTAGCGATAACTTGAAGTTTATTACTTTGTAAAAGAAAGAGGGCATTGCTTAAGGATGAACTCCTTGCATTAGGGGAGTTTTATTTTTAAAATGATGTTATATGTATCAATATAATGAAAAAATATCTTCTCAGTTTAAGCAGTATGATTTTAGAAATCTTCCCTTTCTCTCCTTCGCTACTCGTGCTTTAAGGTTAAGCTACACTCTTCATTAGAAAAAAGTTTCTTTTTTTTTTTGGTGCCTGTAGATAGCACTTGATTGAATCTATTTCAACTCAATGTTATTATTATTTTTTAAAATTTTTTTAAAAGTTATTTATTTGTTTGTTTATTTATTTATTTAGGCTGCATTGGGTCTCCGTTGCTGCATGCAGGCTTTCTCTAGTTGAGGCAAGCGGGGGCTACTCTTCATTGCGGAGCGCGGGCCTCTCATTGCCGTGGCTTCTCTTGTCGTGAAGCACGAGCTCCAGGCACATGGGCTTCAGTAGTTGTGGCTCGCAGGCTCTAGAGCGCAGGCTCAGTAGCTGTGGTGCACAGGCTTAGTTGTTCCCCAGCATATGGGATCTTGCCGGACCAGGGCTCGAACCCGTGTACCCTGCATTGGCAGGCGGATTCTTAACCACTGTGCCACTAGGGAAGCCCAGTGTTATTATTTTTATAGACCATTCAAATGAAATAGAAAGTTTTAGTTTATGAAAACTTAAACCTCTGCTGAAAATTCAGTTAGCTTTCTGTCATTAAGTATAGTACTGTCTTGACTTTTTGTGAAGGAAGTTACATTCATCTGTTAGTTCTAAAGAAAAACAGTAGGGAAATAGGTTATAGAGATTTTTAGTGCTCTAGAAATAGTATAACTAGAATGTACTACATACTTTTCTCAAAGGATTTCTTAATCTAAGTGGAACTTGTAAATGGTTTTCATCCCACTGGAATAGCATGTATTGGATAAAACTTGTTAACACATTTTGAGATTTAAAATATTTTGTGTTACCTCAGAGATATTAGGAAAAATCTGCAAATGCCCATGCTTATATAAAATGTGGCAATACCACTGATATTTTAAAGAGAGTAATATTTTTTTCTCAAAAGTTGAGAGTACACAAATTATAAAGATGGCATAATTTACTCACTTATTTAGTGATGCAATGAAAAGATAGTGGGACTGTTAATCCTATATTTAGTGGTTTTCTGAAAAAACTTTTTTCAGAATTGTTTTTAATCTGATATTTATGTGGCCTTCTTTATTAGAAAAGATTGTGTAGTAAATGTCAACTTTTTCACGTGTAGTAATATTAACCCAATGGGTTTTGTCACATTTCTTTTTTGTAGCATGATTCTTTTATTTGTTAATCAGAAAGTAGTTTATAGAAGAGAAAATTTCAACACTATTTTGGCCCCTTAGATTAGCCTTACCGTAACAGTTTTTCTTTTACTAGAAGAGAGAAATTACATGCTACTAAAAAGAAGATGATTACTTTCACTTGCTAGGAAAATGAAACTTTAAAGATAGGGCAAGTACAAAGCAATTTGAGTATGAGTTTATTTTTCTCCTAAGGAGTTTATTTGTGAGGATGGTTTCATTCTTTCTAAACTCTGTTTATACAAGAGAGTTGTCCTGTTTTAAACTTTAATTGCATTGGGTGATGGGCAGATGATGTATTGCTATTGGGATAAAGCTTGCTATTTGTATACATCGGATATCTGTTCGCAATCAAATATGTTATTTAGTTATGGTATCTAAAACCTCCCCTCTTGAGTATTTAGAGAAAATATGGAGAAGGGGAAATCAGAATAATCAGATTGGTTTG